TATATATATATATTTATATATATATTTTCTTTCTCTTGTATAATCTCTGCATGTGTATATTTTATGGGAAATTTGATTAATTCGAGCATGATGCTTTAATAAAGCAGACATTATTCATAACGCTCTTTAAGCTTTCACGGGTATTATCTTAAAAAATACCAGAAGGTTTGCGGGTTATTATCATATTTTTATCCATTGTTAATGGCAATGTTTCATGAACCTTACTGTTCACTTTATCAGGACAAAGAGCGCATTGATACTTCTCGTCCTGATCAATGCGTTCCTCGCCCTGATGAAGTGAACAGTAAGGTTCACAAAATGTTGGCATTAGCAATGGATAAAAACATGGCAATAATCCGTAAATCTTTTGGTATCTTTTCAGATATTATCCATATTGGCAAGCCGTTATGTGTAAATCCCGAATTAGTTACCAAAAAAAAATGTAACTACGTTACCATTACAGTTACCAAAAAAAAGTGACGCAATTACCAATAAAGTTACCAAAAAAGTAACTTGTAACTATAACTTCGTTACAATTAACGAGTTACTTCCATTCCCTGTTTATAATTACATACATTTATATTTTATTATACATCATTTTTTTTATCACGCACACGTATATATTATGTATACATATATATGTATATATATGTTCACGTGTGACTGCTATTTTTGCTACATATACAGATTGGAAGTAAAGGTGAAAGGCAAACCAAAACCGAAAGGAAAATGGTATAAAGAAGGAGTAGAAATAGTCTCATCGCAAGAATTCCAAATTGAGGAATTTGAAGATGGTACATCAGTATTAACAATCGCCGAAACTTTCCCCGATGACACTGGTGAGATCACATTTGAAGCTTACAATCCACTCGGTGTATCAACTACAACTACGTATTTATCAGTAGAAGGTAATATCATTTTCTCTACAGATCTCAAAGGCTTTATTAATCTGGTTAAGTGTTAAGTCATATTCTTTTCAGCCGCGTTCTTCAATCGGAGAAGCATCGAAGCTCTGTAGCATCCTAATAAAAAACCTTTTATTATCCTACGTCCCTTACATCAACTACAACAAACATTTACAACATCCTCGACTTACATTCTCTTTTGTCTTATTTTTTATATATTTCAAGCAAATTTACTAATTTGTTTGGTCTTGTCCAAATTTTTCTATCTAAATGCTAATAAGATAGAAAGGAATTAATATACATTCGTTATATGTTTCTTATAATCGTTTTATCGATTAGGTATACTCGGGACAAAAGAGTACAGAAAACCAGAGTGGGTCACACAGATGGAAGAAATGCAAGAGGCTTTAAAAGGTAAGAAACTCATGTAAAACTCATATTTATTATCTGTACACACTCAATTGCATGCCGCATGATGCAGAGTGCAATTTCTCAAAAGATAGTCTAAATAACATTGTGCATTAAAAAACAAGTGAGCTCAAAAAGAGCTTAACTGTAACCAGCGACTTTTCAACAAAAACCTTTACCACAAATACCAAATTATATGATTGGAAATGCCAAATTATGGCATTAATGCTTCTTGATGACAAAGATAACAGAATATTTTACCTTCTTCAAAAGAATATTTTTTGTTGACAAGATATTCTCTCAGATGCTATGAGTACTAACCAAAAAATAATATTGCGATATAATATTCTTGGCAGATAGATGTTTCTTATAAGAAACAACCTTCAATATTATTTGATTCAGTAAGACAATTACAAGAGAAGAAGCAAGATAATAAACCTAAAACATAAATATTTTTCATATATAACGTTATTAGAAAATAAAGGAAATCCACTTATCAATCTTGTACTTAGTAAGATAGTAAAACATGATTTTGCTATAGAACACATTATGAGTACTACATTCTACTTGACGCTCGCAACGCTCATGTAATCATTTCATTCTTGTTGTTTATCAAATGTTAAAGAACAAATAAAACTCGCAAGTGTCGTAAGCGCCAAATGGAATGCATTTTATGTCATCACTTAGTAATCGAATTGAAACATAAGATGTAAGAATATCAGGTGTGACAATCCTGAGGATACGTAGTAGGTGACCAACCAGAAATTAACTCCAAATTCTGTAAGCCAATATAAAACCACTATTACAAATTCGTCACCACTCAGAAATTAGCCCCAAATTACATTTAGCCGCCATTATGCACAATAGCACACCTTGTGATAATTCCTGCAATAAAGCATAAAGAATATAAAAAAATTATAGTGAAAATATTAAACGTTGTCAAAACAATTATCTCCTACCAAAAAAAAGATGTCAAATATTGTACGAATAGTTCCACTCTAGTAAACAAATAAATTCTCCAGAGATTCGAAAATTACCATTCTATTTATCATTAATAAAAAAAAAACTAAAATACCAAACATGTAAGATCAAAACAAACTCGACACAAAAATATTTAAAAACCACAATTCCGAATAACTTGTAATTCAGTTGACTTTATTCATGACTATAAAAAAAAATATCGCATATCCCAAGTCTAAGATTACTGTTTCAAAATGCTCCAAAAAGAGATAACTCGAGAGTCATGAATCCACTGATATTTTCATTAGAGTTAAGAGAAATTGATCTGGAATCTTTCCAACAACTAAATACAGCGGATCAAAAAGAATTACAAGAATTTTTGTTACTTGAAAGTTAATGCAACGGAAATTTTGGATTAGCAGATAATAAAGCTACATTCTTTCAAAGATGAAAGAAGCACGATGTCAGGTAGAATTTGTTTTAAGACTAACGATAGAGACGTATCATTTAGAAGTAACTGGTGTATGATTTTTCATATGTGTTTATCTAACTAGACAAGACGAAATTAATTCAGATAATCAATGGCGTTAAACACAGAATTTGATAAGAAATTAATTAATTCAATGTATTTTTATTGTGAGTTTTTCATAATTGCGTTTCATAACATTTCAGCTACACAAGCTGTTCCACGATTTATCCAAGAAATAACGGACGTTTATACAAAAGAGGGAGATATCGCTTTGTTTGAATGTACCTATTCTGGTAATCCCAAACCAGGTAATTACATACACATCGCAAAGATTTTTTAATTTAGTTATAAAGTTGTCTTAATTAATTATTTCTTTAATTTATAGATGTTGTTTGGTATAAGAATGATAAGCTTATAATGAATACGAACAATGTAAAAGTACGTATATTTGATAAAGAAAACAGAACTACTCTAACAATTAAGCAAACTACCAAAGAAGACGATGCCACGTATGTTTGCAAAGCTACCAATGAAATTGGTATGATAGTAACAAAAGCCAAACTTAATATCGATACTACTATCAGCGAATCACGGTTAATGCCAGGCGATATCAAAGAAGAAGAAAAACTAGATATAAAGTTTAAAAAACAAGAAGAGAAACCACATAAAAAGAAAAAAATTGAGCTAAAGAAGGCGAAGGAGATCAAAGAGAAAGTAAAAACTGAACGTCTTAAAATTGAAAAAGAAGAAATCCATGAAGAGAAACTTATTCCGAAGGAACAGATAGAAGAAAAGTCAGTAATCTTCCATTTCATCTTATTCAGTATATATCAAAGTCTTTAATTTGTTCTATTTTTAAATTATAATTTTTGCTGTTTGTACTTGCAGAAGAACTATCGATGTTGAAGAGACTCAACTATTAGAAAGTACAGAGTTTATAGAAGATAAACCCGAAGAGGTATTGGAAGATGTTCAGTTTTTGTAGTTATATCTCTTTCACAAACTATTATTTACTTTGCATTTATATTTTAGGTTTCTAGAGCACGAAGAATAGTACCGATTCAAGAACCAATTGTAACTGAAGCAATAGCTTCTTTAAAGAAAATTGACGATCAAAAACTACGAGAACAAATACCTAAATTTGAAGAACGTGCCAAACAAATTGTCGAAGAGCAAGAAAGTGTTGTCGTGTCAGAAATTACGAGTGAAGATATTGCTCCTGACTTCACTATCGAAACAAAACTTGATCACGCTCAAGTTACCTCGGAAATTTTACAGAAAGTTGCAGTCTCTGAAGCACATGTAGAAAGTAATATGCAAGAAACGAAACGTACAGAAACAAGGCAAAAAAAGATAAAGAAAATAAAAGCTGAAAAAATTAAAGAAGATATTACTGTAAAAGAGATTGTGGAGCGACAAAAAGAAAACATAGCTCGGGAAGTCGATGAGATAATGGAAGTACTTGATGCGACAGAATTTGGGCCGGGAGAATCTCCTCTTCGAGAACTCGCGACAATTGGCTACTTAGTTCGACAAGGTGTTTCCGTAAACGAAATTAACGAATGCCTTTACAAAACTGAGATTTTTCCTGCTCTAAAGACCCCCGATGCTCAAAATGCTTTGGTTCAATTGGTGGAAAGAAAAGGTCACGGTCCCTTGATTACCCAAGTACTTACCGAGGAGACGACAACTGACGAAAGTTTCGTTGCAGCGACAGTCGGTTTTCGTGCTTTTATGAGAATGGTTGAGCTTCAGCATGCAACTGTGGAAGAAGTCATTATACACTTTGCTCCAGAAGATTTCAAACCACGTGCTTGGGAAGTTACAGAAATTTCCGAGGTACAGATATGACATCCAAACGTTATATAAATTTCTAATAATTATTAGAAAAAATACTGTATCTTACTCTCTATTTTCTGCTCTGTATTTTTTTAAATAAAATACATGTTATAATATTTCCAAAAATAATAATTTTTTTTTTTCGTGTCTTTTCTCAGGTTGATACTGAGCAACATGCTACAGAAAGAGTAGATATCGTTCGCAAAATGGAAGTTCATTTTATGGGTAAGCCAAATTGTAGACTTTGTGATTTATTCATATAGATATATTTTATTTATTATATACATACATAAGATTTAGATTTATTTGAATATTTGTTTGATATTTTTGTTATGTTGTTTTTTGTATAAAGAATAAATCTAATACTAAATTTTCAGATAGAATAAGTATTTTTTATTGCAGAGAGGAAGGACGAAAGAAAAGTTACTCATATACAGGATATTCGAGAAATTAAAGGTTTGAAATTATAAATATTGACGTATCTATTAGATATCTATTTGTATAACTTACCAACTTAAGGAATTGATTTTTCGCTATAATAAATACGCTATTACTATTATGTGATTATAGAGTTTTATATATTTATAGTTAGAACAATTAACACACATCATATGCATTTGTAATTTTAATTAATTTAATTCAGGATAGATATAAGTCTCTATATATACCTAATATCTTATACAAAAAAGCAATATAAATCTCTCTTTACGTTATAATAATTTTGCAGAAATTAAAGTTTTAATTAAAAAATATCATATTTTTTTATATTTAAAAAATATCTTTTTATTTATATATAAAAATATTAACACAGAGAAAAACAATATACTAAGGCAGGATGTTCACGGCTGTAACAGTCACTGTTTTATTATGTTTTCAGATGTATGAAGCTTTACTTGATCGAATAATAGCTGTGCAATTTTTTCGCTTACGCCGCTATGCTTTCCACACGCGACAAATCCTATTTCCTTTTCTAATACAATATACAATACTGTCACATTTTAATCAGCTACTTTTCATATCAGCTTCGAAATCAATGCTTCACGACTCGATGCTCATTTGCGTTGCACTGATTGTGCCTTCAAATGTAAGTTCTACCGATACCTTGCTCAACAGAAAATAGTATGAGACATAAGAATGTAGCATGCTTATAAAATTAATAATGTTACAGTATACTAAATTTACAATAAATTTTACACGGTTCTGAAAATCCAAACACTTGTTACTTGTTTGTTTATTGAGCACGTTCTTATCGTAATCAAATACACGCTCTATAGTCATGGAATAAAGTATGCAAGATACAAAATGTGTGCGTGAATGCGTGCGCGCGTGCATGTGTGTGTGTGTGTGTGTGTGTGTGTGTGTGTGTGTGTGTGTGTGTGTGTGTGAGTGTGTGTGTGTGTGTGTGTGCGCGCGCGTGCGTGTGTGTGCGTGTATGTGTGAACGCAAGAAAATAAAGACATCACGCAACACTCACGTCTGACACAAAATTCTCACATACTTTCCACAGAATACGAGGACACACGGCAGGCACACACAACATTGCGCAAACGCAAAGATAAAAAACCAAGGGATCAAATTGAAGAAACAACACAAGATAGGAAAGAGGGGGTTCAATCTATAAAAATCGAGGAAGTCGAGGAGATTGATAAAGAAAGAAAAAAGGAAGAAATCGAAGAAGAGATTATTGAACTTGAACGGGATTCAAAGGGCAGATTAATTCGTAAACAAAAACAAAAAGAGATGGAAAAACAAATAAACACAGAAGAAGAAGAAGAAGAAGAAACTATTAAAAAAATTAGAAAGACATTAATACCAAAAAGATCAAACATTGGTAGAGATGAGATACAATTAGAAGAGATAGAAGAATTTGAAATAACAAAAGATCAATTATTGCCGTCTATGATTTTAAATATATCTAGTCAACGAAATCAAGTGATACCATTAGATCGTACAATTGAACAAGCACCTGGCAAACCCGAATCAGAGAAAGCTAAATACACATTAGACACTGTTATCGCTCTAACGGAACAAATGACATCAGTACACGAAAAAGAAATTAATCAAGTGGCAAGTACCAAACCTATCGAACGTAAAGCATCAATATCAATCTCATCGATAGAACCATATTCTACCATGGAAACTACTGCACATATATCTACTGATGAATTTTCTGGATCTTTCAAAGCTACTTCTTATGAAGCTACACCTTCTGTAATAACGAAAGAAAGTCTTCTCATTAGCGAAACACTGACTCACGATGAAAGTGTGTCAAATCTAAATTTAACTACACCAGAAACAAGTCGAAAAGCAGATGTGCAGGTTACTGTGCAAGAAGCTACAACTATTAGAGAGACCATAGTTAATCAAAGCGAAATACCGACCGAAGATTTTATAACACCTTTAAGCGTTAAAGCAGAAGATATTGTCTTACCACAAATATCACTTTCAGTTTATGAAATACAAGAAGGTTTAGTTGAAAATAAATTGGAACCTACAAAAACGGTACTTACAAAACCTCGAGTTAACATCAATGCAATAGAACCGTTGGTGATAGAAGAAATTCATTCTGAAGATAAACCAGGAAAATATTATCCGGAGTTAATAGTACCTACTGAAGTAGCTACCAAATCGATAATTTCGCAACGACAACGTGTTACCGAAGAGATGAATGCACCCGAAAAAGAAGGAGCATACATTCCAGGTAGATTACCACCGAGTCAAACGGCTCAAATTGAAATTTCCTATGGAAATGAAACGGCTGTTATTCGTCATGATCTCGTACAGGAGCGTGAAGGCGAATATATTCCCGAGCGTAGAGTAGATTCTTTCGAAGTTACTCCAAATATCACTCTTTTGGAAGGAGTTACGATATCAATGATCGATACTCAACAAAAAGAAGATGATTTGACAATCGAAGAGAGTAAACAAGTCACAGCTGACTTGAATGTCGTTGAAATTATGTCAGCTGTGACGGTAGAAACGATGACATCTGAAAAAGAACAAGATTATCATCCTAAAGAAAAGCCTACTACTAAACTAGCCGTTACATCGATTTCCCCATTGGCGATTGGTTCTGTAACAGACACAATTGTTCAAGAATCTGAAGGAACTTATAGTGTCGATGAGAAACCGTTCGAAGTATTGGCGGAAACATCAGTCAGACCGGAAGAACACATATTGATATCTCAAGTTCAAACCGCAGACTATCCCGCGGATTTGAAAGATATACTCAAGTATGTCACAGAGAGCGGTGTTGTATCCATTCAATTAACCGAAGCAAAAACTGTCCTTGAAACGCTCATTCATGATCGAGAGACTAGCATGAAGGAAGATGCTAAACCAGAAATTCATACGATCGAGACGATCTATGATGCTATCAGAGGTATTGAAATATCACAAACAACTTTTGGAGAAAAAGAAGCCGAATTGCAAATTTTTGAAATGCCTGAATCACATCGCGGAAAAACGGTACCTACTCATCCAATGATCTCGCTTGAAATTCAGGAAACCCAACCTGAAAATAATTTAGGTAAAGTCACGAAAGAAGCCGTATCAACTGCTACAGCTCAAATTGAAACAATCAGTCTGCAAGAAACAATTGTTGATGAGACTGTTGCAGCAGAAGATGTAGCTCCGACGAGGAAAGATAAGACTCCTGAAACAATGACCGCCATTATTTCAATGAATCAGATTGAGAGCTTGCACACTACAATGATTGTAGCGGATGAAAAAGAAACTGAATATCTTGATATAACCGATGTTAAAAGTGCGTTTGCAAATACTGAATATATGACGCAAGTGGCTCCTATATACGAACAAGTAAGAACAGAATCGCCAACCGAAGAATACCTAGCGGTAGACAAACCTGTGAGTGGAAAAGCATATCCATCTCATGTTCCTATAGAAACTATCAGTATCGTTATGCAAGAAACCGCAGAAAAGGAAGATGTTTATAAAACAGACATAAAACCTGAGGAAAAGATGGCAAACATTAAACTCACAGATACGAGGCCTGGCGCCAGCGTTCTAGAAATAATTCCACATGATCTCGAGAATATTTACACGCCAGATACTGGACCACAGACTCATACGGTTGAGTCGTCCATAACTGGTCACACTATCGCGTCAAAGACAGAGATCTTAGTGGAACAAAGTGCTGGAAAAATAAGCAGTGATCTACCAAAATCAAGTAAAGCAATAGTACAACAAGAAGCTCTGGAAGAATTGATAGTAACAGAAACAAATGTCGGCGAAGCAGAACGAATTAGGGATGAGGATGCGAGTCCTGTTAAACAAAATGCCGCACTTCAAGTATGCGCTCAATCTGAAAATTTGACCATTACTGAAGTAACTACCGTATTGAAGGAGGAAGAATTATTAATTAAAAAGTTACCAGACAAACAAAGGGTTGTATTAGATATAACCGAGGGCCATGAAATAGCTGAAACACAGGAGATGATTCTTGCGAGCAATATAAGTGCATTGGAAGAAGAAAAACCACATCAAGAAAGTGTCAATCAATTGCAGAGCGGATTAGATGTTGTACAACAAATGGAAATATCAGTATCTGAGAAAGAATCTCCTTTAGAAACGGATGTAAAACCTGATATTAAAAAGGTTGGTATTACTTTTCAAGAAGGAGAAAGTCTAACAATTGAAATTACGCATCCTGAAGACAAAGAAGATATACTTGGTGAAAAACAGACGCCAAAAACAGCCGAAGCTACAATAGACGTATTAACACAAAATATAGCATCGACATTTGAGATTGTTAGTGGCGTCGTTCCAACTGAATTATCTACTAAACCTATCCAAGATGCACGTCCTAAAGCGACATTATTACCATTTGAAACAGCCGTTGCTGAAGAAGTGCAAACAAGAGAAACTGAAAAACCTTTTCCTCATATGTTGGTACCAGAGAAAAAAGCTAATTTTGAATTTGTAATGGGTGAAGTTCTTGTTGTTTCTTCTGTAACAACGGGTGACAAAGAAAGCATGCTTGCAGAAATGGAAAAACCACAATCAAAATCTGCTACTTTCGATATTCCTACTTATACTGTGGCAGAAGCTGCTGAAATAACCGCAACTGATAACATTAGCGAATTAATACGCGAAGAAACTATCTCTGCAATGGCTATGACCGAGCATATAACTCATCATAGTATCGTTACATCCGAAATGTCAATCGGTGACTCAGAACAGCGTATGCTTGATTTCGTCAAACCAGATAAAAAAAGAGTAGATATATCGTTTGAAGAAGAAACAAGCATAACAGTAACTGAAACAATTGCGTCTGATAAGGAGCGAGAATATTTGAAGAAACCGGATATTCTAGGTGAAAAAATTAACACCAGCTTTGACGCTCATAAAATCGCCGAACTTACTGAAGTTACACCAGCCATTTATCCAGGAGACCTCAATGTGAAAACACCAGAGACAGCAGCAGCAAAAGAGGA